ATCGTTAAATAAAATGACATTAAGAAAATGATATAGAATTGGAAAATTTAAACTAAATGTTAGAATTAAAATAAGAAATAGAAATAAAATTTTTAAATAAATTTTGAAAAACAAGAAATTAGGAAAAAAAATTGTGGCACTGTTATATCTCCATAATTTTGTATATTTAGATACTGGAAACCATGATTGGTAACTTGCAACATATTCAAGTAAAATATCTTGTTTTATACAAGTAGACGAAAGCATTTATGCCGGAAAAGCAAAGTTTACAATATAAATTACAAAAATTACCAAAAATCCCAATCCGCGTTCTCATTCTCCCTGTCTCCCCCTCCCCTTACCTCTTTCCACCCTCCCTCTCTCTCATTCCACTATCTCTCTACCCACTCTCTACCCTCCCACTCTCTCTCCCTTACCACACACTCTCTCTCCGTCTCCCTCCCACCACTCTCTCCTTCCCACTCTCTATCTCTTTCCCATTCTCTCTCCCACTTACTCTCTCCCTTCTGTCCCCCTTCTATCACTCTGCCTCTCCCTTGCCACACACAATCTCTCTCTCTCCCACCACTCTCTCCTTCCCTCTCTCTATCTCTTTCCCATTCTCTGTCCCCCTTCACTCACTCTGTCTCTCTCTCTCTCAACCCCCTTTTTCTCATGGCCTCTCTCTCTCTACCCACTCCCTATCGCCACCTCTCCCTCTCTCTCTTTATTTCTTGTCTGTCTAACTCGGTTACTCTTTTGCCTTGTGAAATAAACTATATATATCCAAAATACTTAGAAGTTTCATAGTTTATTTACAATAAAAAATAATGGGAAAAATACTTATTCTACAACAACGAGAAAATTCTTATCGATATTTTAAAAGAAATTATAAAAAGTTTATTCTTGATCTTTTTACTTTAAAATGGATTTAACAAAATTGTTTATTTATGCAAAAAATGAAAGTAATTTAAAATTATAAGGGCGATAACTTCACACAACAGAAAACTGTTTCCTAGTGTACATTTAGATCACTGCGTTGTTTGTTTGCGTATTTAATGAAGAAAAATTTTATATGTTTGAAGAACAATACTTAAATGTTTACTAACATGCACGGAAGGTGATATGTCAGCTTGAAATTCCAGTGGGATATTATTTGTTGTACCGTTATGAAAAGTAGATGTGCGGCTGATGCCCTAAATTGTCCACATGCTGAGAGAAGGTCTATGAAATATTCTTTATTTGACCAAGTATGCTATAAGGGTTTGACATTCACTATCCCTTTCCCTTGTATGCATTCAGTTCACTTAAATTTTATATTCTTATAAATTTTGTCCTGTTCAGACATCGTGTCACTGCGTTGAATGTTAGCCAAAGTGCATTTGCATCATGACTCCCTCGTTGTTCTACGCGCATTACCCGGTATGTATTTTCTCATTGCATATAAATGTTTGTTTGGTGCTTCATTCAAATGTGTACTGTTAATAAACCTACATGTAACGTTTACTTGTTGCATGGTTCCACTCTACTAACCGTAGATTTCCACTAAACGTTTTTAAAGGATAGTGTTAAATGATTAACCGTTGGGCCATCAGCTAGTGTAATTTGAGTAAATGTTCACCTTATAACAGGCCTTAGCCATGCTTCTGGGAAAATACAATCGTTCAATTAAGCAGTAGAGCCTTTCAATAAAAAAGAGAGCCATGCAAAATGTGTGCTTAAAAATTGTAACAAGGTTGCCTCTGTCGCGCATAGCGCCCTCCTCAAGTCATGTAACATTAAAGAGATCAAGTCTGTAAATCGTAGAACATTTGAAACAAGCATTCAATTCTTAGTCTGAAGGAAGAATTTAGGTTATGAAAAGAACCGGGAGTGAGGGGGAGGGGGAGCGAACATGTTAGAAATTCGAAATTCCTTGAGAAGCCAAAATAATTAATGTCCGCAGACTTATTTATATGACAGCAGCAAAAATGGGGAGAACCATACAGCAGTGCTTGATTTGGAGACAAGCCGATCTTATAGATATATATATATATATATATATATCGTATATACTCGCGTATAAGTTGGTCCGCCTACAAGTCGGTTGAATTTTTTGCAGTTACTTTGGAGGGATTTGCCAATGACCCGCTTATAAGGCGGTACAACTTTTTGCCAGAATTGGTTGACAATTTCATATCAATGCTCTGATGTTTTAACCTATTTTCAATCAATATTTTTAAAAAATGACGTCGATATGTAATTTCAAATCATTAAAAAATAAGTAATGCACACTTAAGATAAAAATAAAACAATTAAAATTTATAAATACTTGTACTTTATGCATAATCTTAGAATACATAAATGATTTAATATATTAACTAAGACTTTGTTCAATGATAATCGGCGGGATTGATTATAAAAAACTACCTTTAAATTTGTTGTCCAGAAAATACCAATCTTTCTATGACTCGCCTATAAGTCGGACACAGAGTTTTGGACCAAAATCTAACTCCCCAAAAAACCGACTTACAGGCAAGTATATACGGTATATAAATATATACATGTTTCTGACAACGATATACCTGTAGGAATGTTATCACAGACCATTTTAAGGACAAGTTTTAGGCCCATACTTTAAAATTCAACCTTCTCTCACCTTTTATCAGTTTCTGTATACACCATGGCCAATGCATTGAATCAAAAAGTATTGCATTAAAACTTTTTAACATAAAAAAGAAAATTAGAGCAAGCAAGACTTTTGAAACGACCACATGAATATGCTATCATTTACTGTAATTGCTACTTCATTCTTAAATATTTTCCCTCTTTTAGGTTCATTCACCCTTATTTATTACATGAATATTAATAACCTCGCTTCGAAGGAAAGGGGGTATAGTGTTTTACATTATAATGCCCCAAAACGGGCAAAATTTAAGGTCTGAGTAAATGATATTTCAGCCTTCATACATATATATAAATTCAATGACATTTAATTCTTTGAAGGAAAATTAAAGTTTGTGGCTGAGTGACTGTAGGACAGAAAGACAGACGAGACTAAATCGATCTTTCCCCGATCTTCGGTCTTGGGAACATAAAAAATACTAACAGTGCCCTACGATTAGCTGCAGATCCTTGTTCATTATAGATACACGTATAATCTGCATTACGATGCACATATGCATTACGTAAATTAATTTATGGGTTACACCTCGTAACCCCATCCCCTCAAAACTTGTCACTATAGATGCGCTCGTATGGTACTGATTCTAACACAATGCGTTACAATACTATTTTGTAGAGTTCTATATTTTTTGCACACGAAACTTCATATGTGCTAATATTGCCAATCATACTCAGGAAAAAATTATATCTACGTTTCTTTTTCTTACATCAGTTAAGAAAATGAACTTGATTTTTTGGGGATAAAACATCTTGTATTATTAATGTAAAGTATAGTATAACCTTAATTTTGTCAATAAGCTTGAAAGCTTTTAGAAATAAACACTTCATGTCATAAGGGTGCATGATTTAACCCCTGTGTATTTGCCTAACGAGAAAATTTTCCAACCAAAACCATGCAGTTTTTTTTGTATCAAAAAATGACACAGGGTTATTATTCTACAGGGTTATTTTTCTACAGTCCACATGGGGAAAATGATACCAGGGCCATAAGTTCTAAAAAAAAAAAAAAAGTGGGCCATTTTTTACGTAGAATATTGACCAGAAGGTCAAATTTTTACGTAGAAAAATTATCCCCGGTCAATATTCTAAAAGGGTCACTTTTTATCGTTACACCGGCACTAGAAGTAAAAATCACTGGTGTTTCGGATGAGACCTTAAAACCCGAGGCCCCGTGTCACGGTAAGTGTTGGCGCGATAAAGAACCCTCACAACTCAATGGCCCTAAATGCCGAGTATAGGTATAAATTTGAAGCCTTTCGTCGCTTTATGGTGACGTCTCTTATGTGAGTGAAAAATTTTCCAATGGAACGTAAACAACATACTATCAATCAATCAATGATACTAGTAAGAGAAAGGACTCCTGCAAGAACGGTGCTAAATCCCAAAACAAAAGTTTTCATAGTGAGCCTGTTCTCATTAGAGTGCAAAAAGGGGAGTAACTACGTTCTAGAAAGTAAACAATCAATCAATCAATCATTAATATCAAAACTGTAATAACGCTGCAAAATTCATACCTTTTGTTTAGAAGCAACATATTTAATTACAAAAACAGCAAGCATTAAATTTGTTTACAAAAACATTTAAGGTTAAAATTTTTGGAGCTATAAACATGTATATGTTTCATGTTGTTGTACTTATAATACTTCCTATATTTGCAAAAAAGTAATTCAAAAGTAACTTTATTCCTACGAAATATTGGGGGAGGGGAAGATTTAAACTCTTTCATAGGGTTAAATACTTTTCAGTTTTCTTTCTTAAGTAGAGATTCTGATAAGGATAAAAGGCGGAACAAAGATCCATGTTTCTCATTTCAAGAGTCTTGTCGATCATATCTTTTAATCCTTAGATGTATCATCCACGCAAGTTTGGTCAATATGGGGCTTATAGTTACTTGGAAATGAGATCTGCTCCCAAAACTTTAATCTGATCACTCATCTGGAAAATGTAGGTCAGTTCCAGCATCTAGTCTTTGTGTCTTTTGTTAGATGTCTTGAAATTTTGAGGAAAGTAGAGCAAGGTCAAATAAAAGGGACACTTGTTCTTAACTGAAAACAGAATTATAACACACCAAATGAATACAATAAATCTCCTACTATGGGTGATTCTTTGAATCTTTAGTTTAAAAACGATAATGTGTGCTTAGAATTCAATGGGGATCAAGTAAATTTACGGACAGCAAAGTGCAGTGCTATTTGAATTATACTATATCACAATAGAAATAATTAAGTTTTATGTCATTTAATTTACTCAGGGGTTAATTTACTGAGTATCCATTAATCATAATCCTCGTCAACATCATCACATTTCAGCGACATTGATCTTATCTTGATCGTTATCTTTCCTGTTGTGTCTTGTAGAAATGGTATACGCTGTGACTGGAATAAACCTCCTATACCCGAGGGTAAGTCATCTCATTTATTTCATTTTTTCGTGTTTTTCGCCGAATAAGTTATTATAAATGTGTATATTCTTTCGTCAGTCCCCGATCAAATTCTTGATGAAGATTTTCAAGGCGTCATGGCATTGAATCCGATGTGGAAAAAACAAAACAAAACAAGAAAATGTGTGTGTGAAACACTAATGCCACCGTATGGCAGCTTATAGCTTATGGTTAAAGTTTCTTAAATGCAAGTCAAACTCCAAGGTTAAGAAATCAAAAATGTTGTTACCCAAAGAAAGTACTTGTGTGAATGGATATACCTGGTAAATATGAAAGCATCAACCATTCAACAGTTATGGTCAAGGTTAATGTTTTCTAAAAGTGGATCAAACTCTGACTCAAGGTCAAAGGGTCAAAATTAATGGTATGCAGTGGAAGACCTTGTCATAAGAAATATACATGCAAAATATAAAAGCCTTAGCACCAACTGTTCAAAGGTGATGGCCAAGGTTAAAGTTTTTCAACAGTCGGTCAAACTTCAAGGCCAAGGTCAAAATTGTTGGTATTTAAAGGTATAAAGGAAGGACTTGTCACAAACAATATGTCTGTGAAATTTGAAAGTCCTGGTACTGACTTTTCAAAAGTTATGGCCAAGGTTTAAGTTTTTTTAAAAGTAGGTCAAACTCTAAGGTCAAGGTCAAAAGATCAAAAATATTTACACCCATGGAAATGTCTTATCACGATGAATACACATGTGAAATATGAAAGCCCTAGCACCAACTGTTCAAAAGTTAAGGCCAAGGTTAAGGTTGGAAAGATCTTTTGTGTAAATCGACTAAATGTCAATCTTTGTCTACTGTCAATTTAAGGAGTCAGTAATTAAATACTTAGGGACTTCGATAATTCCAATGGCATTTTTGACAGGCGTAAATTCATCAATTTACAAAAATGCATTTAAACAATTATAATTAACTTATATAATATTCACTTAATTTTGTTTTCGGAACTTAAATTCTGTTAATTAGTATTATGGATGAAGCAGTTTAGCACACATACTAAGATTTTTAAAAATATATATATTTATACATATTAAGCATGACTGTTCCACTCGTTAAAAAGATATATACCGATACATGTCATGTTGTGACTTTGTTTATCATTGTGTTTCGTACTCTTGCTAAATTTATGCGTTCTAAATGCACGCCTGTCAAATCACTTAATCTCTGTCCCTGGCGACATACATCAACCAATAACCTACCGACTACAAACAGCGAAGGCAGCCAATAGAATAGTGTCCTCCGAGAAGCCTTCTGATCATTTATAAACAAACCTCTGGCGAATCAGCGTCCAATCCACATTGACATTCATAAGACATTTCTTTAAAAAAAAAATATTTAAGGAAATAAACCGAAAAAGTATATTTTTCATCTGAAGTGGGAACAACAAAAAATTGCTTTTATTTAATTTTTCTTAACCTAAATTTTAATTTCATTACATGCCGTTATAATACTTACCTGTACTGTTCATGTAAGACAACAATATATATCACTTTATCAAATTATTCAGAATTTACAGTGCATAAATTCTACAAAATAGATAACGAATCAAAATTTCTTAGTAAATGATTAATCATTATAAAATTTTAACACAAGAAAGAAGGGAATAGACCAAGTCCAATCGTTATCAAGAAAAATATGCTTAATATGAGAAGCATAACTCACTTGGAACACAACCCGCTTTTTCAATTGTTCATTCTCATTTAATAAATACGTACATGCACTCTTATTTTTCATATAATTCCTTGATTTAACTGACAATGCGCATTGTGTCGATATCTCGAGAAGCCTTTGAGCATTTGCAATGAAACTTTATATCACAACTTCCTATGGCATAAAGAAGAGCCTTATTGATTTTGAGGTCAAAATGTCAAAGGTCAAGGTCATAAATTTATACATTCTAACTGTGTGCAACACTTTCGTTTCCGGTTGATATTTCAAGAATTAAGCTTTTGAGCTTTTGCAACGAATTTTTTTTTTATCAGAACTCCCTATGGCCCCGCCCGCCCCTTTCAAAGTGTCCCATCCCGGTTTTTTTTTTTATTTTGGTCAAGTTTTTTTTTTGGGGGGGGGGGGTGGCAAAAGTCAACTGGAAGTTTGTTGGCATCGATCACAAACAAAGTTTTATAGTTACTCCCCGTTTGTATCAAAAGATACACTAGTCTATATAATATCAATATTGACATTACAATGTGAAAATTTTGATAAAAAGATTGTTATGTAGATGTTTACAGTAACAGAAAATAAAATAATAAAACCCGCCCCAATTTTTAAGCAAATTAGGATGAAAATCCAAACTTTAAATTGATGTGGCCTTTAGGCCAAATACTGAAAGGTCAAGGTTGAGCTTTTTTCTTTCTCCATTTTCGATTTGTTTTCCATTTCTTCCGCCGTTTTCTTTTTTCCTTAAGCTGGGGACACAATTTCTCTGAATTAGCTTGTTTTCCAACAAAAGAGGAAATTGGGGAGGGGGTGTCTGAAAATTCAACTGAATATGCCCTACCGAAGGTGTCATTCATTGGAATGGGGTCTTTTACATATTGTTTGAAGTTTATCTTGCAGATCTACAGATTCAATGTTTCACTTTATACAAGTAAGTCCAAACATTGAAAAGGAATAAGAACTTTCTCCTATTTGTACGTGAATAATAATAACCTACATTGTAGCTCAATCTGATTCAATAACAAATTTACCAGAATTTTAGTTTATTGTAGGAATATTTATTAACAGATTTCTTTCAGTATCTGTCAAAGAACATGTGTGTGATGTTAGTATTTTTACATCAGATAGTTAATTAAGGGGCCATGTGACATTACGAGAATTCATAACGATTAAGTGAATTACTTATACATGTGGGTTATATTAAGATTTCTCATTGGATAAAAAAGTGTGAGGCCCAATTTTTCAATGTCTTTCTTTTAATGTTATTCATTTTGAGTTTCGAACAAAGAAAGGATTATTTAAACATTTTCTAGAAACATAAAAGAAAATTTCGAAATTCAAAATTGTCTGGAAAAATATTTGAAAAGACCACAACTACTGCAAATGCTGTTTTTTTCCTGATATGACGAAATAAAACTATTTTAGTTAATAAATCATCATCAGCCCTAATTGTCATGTAATCATGTTCGATTTATGACAGTTTATACCTATCTCTGTATCTATTTATGTCTTTAAAACTTCAGAGTAAGGAAAAGATCCAATAAAACACTAATTATTTAATTCACCGTGATGACAATAACGTATTTGCATAAGGTACTTTAAACAAATGGGGAATATTTCTCGTCACAAATTTTTAGTTGTGAAGAAAATTACAATATTTGTTACAGACCTAGAGGCTTCAAAACCAGGAAATAATGTGGTAAAATTAGACATTACGTTTGGGAGGGTTTTTTTGGAATTAACACGAAAAGTAATATCAAATCTACATGTTTCTGGTGCTACTTAGCTTTTGTAGACTCATCTCATAATTCAAAATCGTAGTCGTTGTTGTTTTCAGAACTTTAGTTTTTCTCACGCAATAATGTTTATTGAAAAGCATATAGTTTACTAAGAATGCAAGATAAATAAGATAAGTAGTAAAATTGAGGAATAGATCAGAGCCTAAGAAGTTGTGACAAATCAAGTTAAAATTAAATCAAGAACATTATATACAAACATAAACAAAAAAGTAGCGAAAATATTGTGTTAAACATTGATGGTATAGTACATCAAGAATTTAAAACTATAGCAGATTACCTTAATAGTTTTTTACTACTTTTCCGTCAAAACGCGCAGGCAAATTACCCACGTCTTCAAATACATGTATGTTTAAAGTCACATTAAGGAATTTTAGACGGATAAGAATACAGAAAACAAAAAGCTTGCAATTCAACATGTATCTGAAGAACTAATTTATAAAGAATTAAGCAATCTGAATTTAAACAAAAGCACTGGTTTTCATAATATACTAACAAGGTTTTTGAAAGAAATTGGTTTTTATTTTAGAACCTATCATGTCCATTGTAAATAAATCCATAATTACTGCTTAAGTTATTTCTTGGAAGTATGTGTAAAACTCATTTGAACGAACTTGAACGTATTAATAAAGACATTTTTAAAAAAGTAAACAGCTACGCAGACGAAGAACGGACTTCGATAAGAAAAACTGACTTGAGCCTTTGGTCCAGGTGAACTAAAACCTAGGAAAAGTAAAGATTGCGTTCGAAAAATATGTTATAGCAGAAGGATAAAAAAAAAGATTGATTCTGGATCTCTGTCATACAATTTTTATATAATCTAGTTAAAGAGGTACGCACATGAGAGTGTTGTAATGACAATTTTCATGAAGTATATTTCTAATATCTACTATGATAAACAATTAAAATAGGAAAAAGAAACAAGGGCGACGCATGCCATGTTTCTTAACGAAAGCCAGTTAAACTTGACCTTTTTGCACTTCGATAAAAATTCAAGATATTGATTGAAACTACTGCTACTAAAAAAAATTATAAAGATAATACTACATTTTATGTAAATAAATTGTCAATGATGATACAAGTTTTGGTCAGAAAAAAATCTTTGAAGTCTGAACTATGAATCATGGCCTTTTTGCATTTAAGGATAAAAAATGCAACATGAATAAAGAATCTTTCTAAAATTTAATGAATGAGTAATGCCATTTGTAATTTTTTTGGATGAATATTATTGCTATATCTTCAATTTTTTGGTATACCTCACACAAAAATAAAATGTTAATGAAATTATTACAAATATTATATTTCAAGAGTTTTTTGTGAATGTAAATCATAATGTATTTTAATAAATTAAAACATTGAACGCCTTAATTTCAAATTCCATAAATTAGATTTAAGTCTCTACTGTTTGTCTGATATTTGAAGAGTTCCCAAGAAAGCCCCTTTAAAATGCACTTGACTTTCAGTCTTTTGATAAAAATATGAAAATAAATATTAAGGACCTATTTTGAAAGATGTTAATCCTGTTACTTTGGAATCCAAAGCTTAGGAGCGTACTTCCTTATATAAATTCATCATCAGTGGACGTAAGTTCCTCTAATGTGAGCATTTACATCATGAGAAGCTAAAAACAACTCTATGGAATTTCAAGAAATGCAAACAAAAAAAAAAGAATTTTAGTAGGAAGTATTTCTTTACCCCCCCCCCCCGATATTATTAGAATGTCCTCCTGTTATTATCAATTTGCCTCATTTGTTCCTATTTTAAATTCTTACAATTACTTACTTGTGGTGTATGCAGGTATCAGTCTGTGTTTGTCTTCTTTTAACCTGCCACTTCCTATATTCCTTTTTCTTTTAACCTGCCACTTCCTATATTCCTTTTTCTTTTAACCTGCCACTTCCTATATTCCTTCTTCTTTTAACCTGCCACTTCCTATATTCCTTCTTCTTTTAACCTGCCACTTCCTATATTCCTTCTTCTTTTAACCTGCCACTTCCTATATTCCTTCTTCTTTTAACCTGCCTCATCCTCTGTTTGTCTTCTTTTAACCTGCCTCATCCCCTGTTTGTCTTCTTTTAACCTGCCTCTTCCTTTATTATTTTTTCTTTTAACCTGGCTTTTCTTATATTCCTTCTTCTTTTAACATAACTCTTCCTATATTCCTTCTTCTTTTAACCTGCAGCTGCCTCTCCCTCAATTTGTCTTCTTTGATCTTCCCCGTTCTTTGTTTATCTTCTTTTACCTGCCCCGTTCTTCGTTTGTCTTCTTTATACCTTCCTCGATCTGTGTTTGTCTTCATTTTAACTGCCCCGTTCTGTGTTTGTTTTCTTTTTACTTGCCTCCTACTGTGTTTTTTTTTCTTTTTTCCTGCCTTTTCTTTGTTTGCTTTCTTTTACCTGCCTCTCCCTGTTTTTGTCCTCTTTTTACCTGCCTCTCCCTGTTTTTGTCCTCTTTTTACCTGCCCCTTCCTGTTTTTTGTCCTTTTTTTTACCTGCCTCTCCCTGTTTTTGTTCTCTTTTTACCTGCCCCTCCCTGTTTTTGTCCTCTTTTTACCTGCCTTTCCCTGTTTTTGTCCTTTTTTTTTACCTGCCTCTCCCTGTTTTTGTCCTCCTTTTACCTGCCTCTCCCTGTTTTTGTTCTCTTTTTACCTGCCCCTCCCTGTTTTTGTCCTCTGTTTACCTGCCTCTCCCTGTTTTTGTCCTCTTTTTACCTGTCCCTCCCTGTTTTTGTCCTCTTTTTACCTGTCCCTCCCTGTTTTTGTCCTCTTTTTACCTGCCCCTCCCTGTTTTTGTCCTCTTTTTACCTGCCCCTCCCTGTTTTTGTCCTCTTTTTACCTGCCCCTCCCTGTTTTTGTCCTCTTTTTACCTGCTTCTCCCTGTATTTGTCCTTTTTTTACCTGCCTCTCCCTGTTTTCGTCTTCTTTTTACCTGCCCCTCCCTGTTTTTGTCCTCTTTTTACCTGCCCCTCCCTGTTTTTGTCCTCTTTTTACCTGCCCCTCCCTGTTTTTGTCCTTTTTTTTTTACCTGCCTCTCCCTGTTTTTGTCCTCCTTTTACCTGCCTCTCCCTGTTTTTGTTCTCTTTTTACCTGCCCCTCCCTGTTTTTGTCCTCTGTTTACCTGCCTCTCCCTGTTTTTGTCCTCTTTTTACCTGTCCCTCCCTGTTTTTGTCCTCTTTTTACCTGTCCCTCCCTGTTTTTGTCCTCTTTTTACCTGCCCCTCCCTGTTTTTGTCCTCTTTTTACCTGCCCCTCCCTGTTTTTGTCCTCTTTTTACCTGCCCCTCCCTGTTTTTGTCCTCTTTTTACCTGCTTCTCCCTATATTTGTCCTTTTTTTACCTGCCTCTCCCTGTTTTCGTCTTCTTTTTACCTGCCCCTCCCTGTTTTTGTCCTCTTTTTACCTGCCCCTCCCTGTTTTTGTCCTCTTTTTACCTGCCTCTCCCTGTATTTGTCCTTTTTTTACCTGCCTCTCCCTGTTTTTGTCCTCTTTTTACCTGCCTCTCCCTGTTTTTTTTTTTTTGTTTTTCTTTATACTTGTTCCGTCCTGTGTTTTTCTTTATACCTATACTATTCTGTCTTTGTCTTCTTCTTTATACAAGTACTAGTCTGTGTTAGTCCAGTCTAGAATAACCTGATCGGTTTGTGTGTGTCTTTCTTCTTTATACTGGTACCAGTTGTTTTTTTTTTTCTGTTTTTCTTTCTTCGAATGACATGTATATACATCAGTCTTTACTTAAAGTGAATTTAATTTATTTTCAAACCTGAAGCCTAGTCTTTTTCAGTAAAAACTCAAAATCATTAATTGATTTAGTCCTGATCATTCTGAAACAATGTGAATATGATCTACATGTACCACGTGCTTTACAACATCTGGACCCTCTTTCTTAACTATGCTCTGACATTTTCAAAAGGAATTCTAATTTTTGAAAGCCTTTCAGATGTTAAAAATACTGAAAAATCCATTACTTTAAATTCTTTGTAGACTGTCCAATCAGTCAAGCTGAACTAGAATACATGGCAGATCACTTAGATGTACAAGTCAACAGTGTGGATAATCTAAAGGATAACGGCAGAACACACATCATACAAATTCATCTTCATAACAGTGGGACGCGCACTATTCGAGGGAGCTTGTGGGAGCTTTTTTTCCACAGTTTTTTCATGGTTGAACCCGATCATCTACCAGAGGAAAAAGTATACGTAGATGAAGACTACAAAGTTAAATATAGACATGTGACCGGAAGTTTGTTTTCCCTGGCCCCAAAGGAGGGATTCAAGGACATTTTACCAAATAAAAGCCGAAGCATAGAGCACCAAGCTAAATACTGGTCAGTTTCAAAGTCTGATTTCCTTCCTAACTGGTATATAAAAGCGCAAGGCTTAGAACCACGGGTTATCAAGTCCACAAACAGCAAGTCGTTTGCTGGAGACATATCGTCTGCTAAACAGTGGAAACGGTTTAAATATGACCATTATAATCCATTCACTTCACATGATAGATTCGAGCAGTTCGACTCGCCCAACAGATATACAAACGGTCCATCTGTGATTCCGACACCAAAGAATTTCTTTGAGTCACGGTCATTTGGTCAGATCAAGGTAGATGATACTTGGACCATCGGAACAGACAAAGGGGCCCGACGAGCAGCCAAACTTTTATCTGGTAAGTCGAAATAAATACACTCTATCATGAAATGCCAAAAAGATTGAGTGTTTCTCATGACTTGATTTTTTTTTGCCTGTACAGGTGAACTGAAGCTCCCCTTGACAGATCGCATTAACGGCCATTCGATTTCCCTCCGTCTGGTTGATAACGACAAAGGTCATGAGTGGTACTCCATAGAATCCAATATAAACGCGCCCAGCATTATTATTACTGCCAACTCACAGGCTGGTCTTTTCTATGGTGTCCAGTCTCTCATCAGTATTCTTGACAGATTTAAAGAGAAAAGATCAAAATTACTCTATCCCTTCTACCTGGAAGATGAGCCTCGTTATGAGTATCGCGGGCTACGATTGGATGTGGCAAGGCACTTCCGTACAAAAGAAGAAGTTAAGCGCTTGATTGATTTGATGTCTCTTTATAAACTAAACAAACTTGGTCTTATGTTGACTAACGACGAAGGTTGGAGGATAGATATACCGTCTTATCCAACATTGGTTCAGGTATGGAGTGTATTGTATTTCAGGACTTGATAGCTTGTTAAGATACATATTTAAGTATTGCAACGTAAATTGACGTTTTGAATAATTTAGAAACCTAAAATGAAAAGGCAAAGTAATATCTCTCTTGTATGTAGGTTGGTGCCAGGCGCTGCCACGATCCGGACGAGGAAAAATGTCTCTTGCCTCAGATTGGTAACCCAGTTAGCACAGATCCGGAGTATTACACTGGGGACGATTACATGGACATCCTTCGGCATGCCAGGGAAAGAAACGTGGAGGTCATACCAGAAGTTAATATTCCAGGACATGCTTATGCTTTAAAAAGAGCAATTGAATCTTTTTTTAAACAGAATAATATCCCTCTCTGGTCGCCACCCGGCAAATCACAATTATCGATACAAATGTTTGAAGACAACATGCTTAATCCTTGCTCAGAGGCAACATATACAGTTATGAAGACAATTATGAATCAGATTGCCATGTACCATATGCGTGCACAAGCACCGCTCCGACATTTTCATACAGGCGGGGATGATAGTTACACAATGGATCGTTGGGTAAACTCTTCAGACTGTCAAAAACTGAATATGCGCACTGCTCAGGCAATACAGAACATGTTTGATGACAGAGTATCCAGAATGATAGAGAATATTGGAGCTAATGTATCAGGTAAACTTCAACCTGATCTTTGCATCAAAAACTTTTTAAACAAGCATTATTTCAGCAGCAATATAAAAACTTTTGTTATGTATTGTAGGTTTTGCTGATGGATTTATGAATGCAGAAGGTGCTCCACAGGATCTCCGACTTTTTCACACACCGGAAGTGACTGCTCATTACTGGAACAATAAATTGAAGAGCGACTTTTCTACAGCGTATAAACTAGCTAATGCAGGGTACAAGGTCAGTGCCAGTTTTCAAGGCATCGAAACATTATATAATACATGTATATTGAATATAAAAAACTATCCTTTTTATATGAAAGAAAAATGTGCCCATTTTCCTAGTTTTGTCATGTTCATGTATGTTTCTCGGTTGTATAATGGCGTTTTTCATGCCATGGGTTTCGTAAAACGCAGAAAAGTTATAGAGTAAAATAGCAATATGATGCTTTTGTGTCTTTTTCACCAAAGAGCTTCTTTATTAAAGGTGGTGCTTGGACCTGCCTCCCACTTGTATTTTGACCATCCGTACGAGCCAAACCCTGAGGAGAATGGCCTGTACTGGGCCACACGTTACACGGATTCAAGAAAAGTGTTCTCTTTTGAACCCAAAAATATTTATCATGACATCACAGAAAATAATTCAGGGGAGTCGATAGATCAGGAAAAGCTTTGTGGAAGGTTTCAGGAGAAATGTCCACGTCTGAGGCGGCCAGAAAACATCAAAGGTAAACTATAGAATCTAAAGAATTCAAAAATCTGATGGCATTGGTACTTTTCCTGACGTACGTTGAAAAAAAAATATAAAATTTATCAAAAATACAGGTATAGAAGGAAGTATTTACGGAGAGTTGATTCGTTCAAGGGACATGCTAGATTATATGTTGTTTCCGAGACTATTGGGTCTAGCGGAGAGGGCGTGGCATAAAGGAGCCTGGGAAGACATTGAAGACGACCATAAAAGGAAGAAAGCGATGAATGACGACTGGCAGCGATTTGCAAGGATTGTAGGCTCTAAGGAACTCAGGCGCCTAGATGACCTTGGCGTTATGTACCGTATTTCCCCAGCTGGGGCCAAGTAAGTTGGCATCATCGTGTGCTATATGTACTGAAAAATTTAAATTTACATATATGTATAAAATTCTTTGATATTTTGATTTGTAATTGTGCTTTATGAGACAGGTCTGACAGGATAAAGAGGATGTACACCAACACCGAGTTTCCAAACCAGGTAGTTGAGTATAGCACTAACTCTGGTGCTAAATGGAAACTGGTTCCTGACGACTGGCTAATGAAATCCTACAACAGCAGAATACTAGTCCGGGCTGTGTAAGTAACGATCACAACATCAAATCTTCTGACAGAATTCTGAGCAAAAACTGCATAACAGATGGGCACCGTTTCAATGTACAATTTTTTAACCCGCGGGATTCTCCTTCTTAATCCACACAATCGTACTTTTATTTTTTTTTCTAAAGAATATTGATATTCGCTCTTGTAGACCAAAGGTTGGGAGGATTAAATCGAACACAGACCACCTGACGGAGAGAATGGAGTACAGTGTGGACCAAGGGAAGACTTGGAAACTTGTGCCAGATACCTGGCCACTGGCCAGCTACAACCCAATCCTGCTCAGAACTAGGTCAGGCACCCTAGTACTATCATTATTTTTGTAGTTTCACTTCTTAGATAACGCCACTTTATTTTAATACTTTGCAATCTTGGTCAATTTACACTCTGTATTTATAGGTCTGCAGATGGAAAGAGACTCAGCAGAGAAACAGAATTCGACCCTCGTAAGTATTTAAAGTATATATGAAGTGTCACCTACAATTTACTTTAAAATGAAAAATATAAAATATGAAAAATACTTATAACTGTTTCGAAATTCTTTATAGGTGGCATTAATCCTATTCCAAATCAAGCAGACGTAGAAAAAATTGCCAGAAATCTGCACGTGACCTATGAACTGGAAGATAACCTTGTTAACCAAGATAACAGCTTTCTGTTCCGGGTCGTATTCCACAACACCGGAAGTGAGACTCTGGCTTACGGAAACTACAGTATCTACATGTACAACATCCGTCTGTTACAGCCAGACCAGAATCCCTACCCTAATGGTTACAAGCTCCACGACTGCAGCCTATGGCTACATCACGTAGGAGGGAGTTTATACAGGTACCTAACACAACAAAGTTAGGAACAAGGGCAAAATACTAATATTTGAGAGATGTGGGAAAAAACTACAGGCCCGTAGGAAGCAATTTCATTTTGAGGGGGCACAAACATATATTTTCAGTTGAGGGGCACTATCAACTACCAAAATTCCTTGACAAGCAAAAAAAAAAAAGGTCATCAGACGTTATTTTGAGGGGGGCACAAGCATATAGTAGCTATATTTTCTATAGTATTCTATATATCGGCAAGATCATTGGGGGGGCACGCCCCCCCCGTGCCCCCCGGTTCCTACGGTCATGAGCTAAGCCTCTGTAAGATCCCTTTTAGAGAATATGTACATTGAATAATAACGAAATATTTTTTAATCGGAAAAATAATACAAAAAACAGATGCTGATCTAATTTGTTTTAACACAGTCTTATTGATTTTTAACCATTTTCGAATTTTCACCCCGTCCTCTTAAGAATATGAATTGACAAAAAAAATTCCAATTGTAGATTAGACCCAGAACAAACAACTTTTAAGATTCCACCAGGCGAGTCACTGTCCTGTCTTCTGTCTGGTAAACAATGGCAGGTGTCTAGGACTGACTCGATGCCAAACTGGTTCGTGGCGGCGGAGGGAATGGATCCAGTTGTAATTAACAACACAGCCTCTGAGGATCTCAGCTACGTCCACCGGTTTGATACGTCTAACAAGTGGAAGCGATACCCTGAGGACCAGTATAACCCGTACTCTCCTCCAACTCGTTACGGTATTCATAAAGATATCGCTGATAGAGGGCGCGCCTTAAAACCGCTAATTCCAACACCAAAAAGCTTGTCAATCAACAGTGATAACCAAATCAGGATAGGGGGATCAAACAATAAATGGTACATCTTGCGCAATGGAAGATTCAGAGACGCTCACAGAGATCTTGATGGTAAGGTTACTTTAGACTGAGGTTCATAAGGCATGCCCTTTCGAAACATGCACCCATTGTTCTGTCGCCTGCAGAGCAGGGCGACAAAAGGGATCACTTTGCCTGGCTCACACCTTTAAAAATCTTGAGAATTGTTATAGGAAGAAACTTAATATTTGTCTCATGCATTGCATGGAATGATATCTTTGTAAAATACCAGGATTACCGACCCCGAAACCTTTGGACGTGACCTTTGACCTACATTTCAAAATACACCATAGTGCCGATATACACAAATTCTCTTACTTTCAGAGGCTATTTGGCAAGTGTTCCGCTTGTCATAAGAAATATTAAAAAAATATTAGCATAAAAGTCCAATTGACCTAGACCTTTGACCTATTTTCAAGAGTACTCCGAACTTATATCATGAATTTTGAGAAGGGCTTTTTAAAATTGCATTTATAAACATATTTATATCCTATTAACAGTTTCTTTTAAAGGTATTAATGTATTTTGTTTATAACAATCTGAAATCACCCGGCCTCTTCCGTCAACCAAGAGAAAACCTCGGTTTTATTCGACTTTACGGAAAGGACCGAGTGATGTTCTCGACCTCACGGAAGACGCCGTGTGATTTTCCGATTGTTACATTTTACCGACTTTTGATCATGAATCTTGGATATTGTTGCATAAAACTTAAATTAATAAACAAAGTCCAATGTTGTTCTCGACTTGACGAAAAAGACTGTATGATATTCCGGTTGTTCCTTTAATTCATGCAGTATCGTTATATCTACTTAAGCTCGTGAATCTTCGGGATTGTTGAAATAAATGGATGGTTAATTTTAATAAATTCAATTTGATTATTCATTTTAAATTTAATTTATAGTGACGGTAACGTTTATGACAAATATTATGTATCGCTGTTTCACTATCCGAGGATTTTTTTAAAATTTATTTTTCTATTTTTTCTTTGTTTGTTTGTTTGCAATTCTGGTTTGTTTGTTTGATTTTTGTTTTGTTTGTTTGTTTTTTGTCTTATCAATAAGGCTAGTATAATATTTAAAATGGATAATACCACTAAGTTTTATTTATGTCTTTAATGATGCTATAGCAGGCGACACATACGTTTCTTGAAACGCTCTTAGTTTTTAAATCGTAAAAGAACAATTTAAAAAAACTTTTAGTGTTCACAGTACCAAAATTTTATAATTTTATGGTTTATCCATATGGAGTTTTTTTTTAACTATTTATAAATGTCAAATAATTAGGAATATGCTTAATTTCTTTTTTCAGAATACTTTAAACTTACTGAAACAAACAATCTTAGGAAACGTCCCAATGTGATACAACTTTTTGAGGCGCCTATGTCCGACGGTAACGAATCTTATACATTAGAGGTAGATCCTCGTTTTCGGAAAATAACTCTGAAGGCAGCTGATTACCCAGGAATGTTTTATGCCGTACAGACTCTGAAGGCCCTTACCACAAAAGACGGGGAGACGTTTGTTCTACCGGAAGTGAAAATATCTGATGCTCCACGTTTTCATTACAGGGGAATGCATTTGGATGTCGTTCGGAACTTTCACTCCAAAGAGGAGGTAAGTGAACATTCGTAACCGTCAATACCTGTATTACCTGTAATAACCGTCAATACCTGTATTACCTGTAATAACCGTCAATACCTATATTACCTGTAATAACCGTCAATACCTGTATTACCTGTAATAACCGTCAATACCTGTAATAACCATCAATACCTGTAATAACCGTCAATACCTGTATTACCTGTAATAACCGTCAATACCTGTATTACCTTATTTACCTATAATAACCGTCAATACCTGTATTACCTGTAATAACCGTCAATACCTGTATTACCTATAATAAGCGTCAATACCTGTATTAGCTGTAATAACCGTCAATACCTATATTACCTGTAATAACCGTCAATACCTGTATCACCTGTAATAACCGTCAATATCTATATTACCTGTAATAACCGTCAATACCTTTATTACCTGTAATAACTGTCAATACCTGTATTACCTGTAATAACCGTCAATACCTGTATTATCTGTATTAATAACCGTCAATAGCTGTATAAAGTATACCTGTATACCACACTGATTCTCAAGGTAAAGCATCAAAGTCTGGCACATGTAGTCTTTTACTTAAAAATTGAAGTTTTGAAAAGTTTACCACAAAATAATTTTTGATTTAAAATCATTGAAATGTTCTTGATCAAGTTAAATAAATAAATTCAATAGTCATGTTTCTGTATTGGTTATTGCATATTTCATCTTACTTGTTATCTATACAGCTGCTGTTAGATTACTAGTCAGAGTTATCTTTCTTCCGACTGATGACATGCTTACTCATGTATTTATTTACATGCATTAACGATTTATTACATTATTCAATGACAAATAATTCTACTAAGCATATGAAAATTAATTTAAAGAATGATTTCAAAAAAAGAAAGAAAAGTCAGTGACTTTCAGTAATTAAACCACAGTTTCATTTTTGATATTTACTTACATTTTCTTTACGTTTATTCCAGTTAAAGATTAATTAGTGTTAGGCACAAAAGGAGTACTTAAAGGGCATACACGAACATGCAAAAAAGTGTAAAATATTTTTTAGGTGATGAAGTTGTTAGATCTAATGGCGAGATACAAATTAAACAAACTTCATCTCCACCTGACTGACGACGAGGGCTGGCGTATAGAAATCCCCGAGTTACCGGAACTGACGCAGGTAAGACAAAACTAGAGGATGTAGCCCAATCCCACAGTTACCAGCTCTCACCAAGGTAGGACAATCTAGTGAATATAGCTCAATCCCACTGTTACCAGAACTCACCAAGGTAGGACAATCTAGTGAATATAGCTCAATCCCACTGTTACCAGAACTCACCAAGGTAGGACAATCTGGTGAATATAGCTCAATCCCACTGTTACCAGAACTCACCAAGGTAGGACAATCTAGTGAATATAGCCCAATCCCACAGTTATCAGCACTCACCAAGGTAGGACAATCTAGTGAATATAGCTTTATGCCACAGTTACCAGCTCTCACCAAGGTAGGACAATCTAGTGAATATATCTCAATCCCACAGTTACCAGCACTCACCAAGGTAGCACTATCTAGTGAATATAGACCAATCCCTCAGTTACCAGCACTCACCAAGGTAGGACAATCTAGTGAATATAGCTCAATCCCACAGTTATCAGAACTCACCAAGGTAGGACAATCTAATGAATTAAGCTCAATCCCACGGTTACCAGCACTCACCAAGGTAGGACAATCTAGTGGATGTTACTAAATCTCACAGTTAGCAGACCTTATCAAAGTAAGGCAAACTAGTAGATGTAACTAAATTACAAAGAATTACCAGAAGACAGTAGTGGCTAAACATTAATCCTAGAGTTACCAGAACTCATCCAGATAACACAAACTAGTGGATGTAGCTAAATCCCAGTAAGCAGAACTCACCCAGGTAAGACAATTTAGTGCATGCAGCTACAGTTTCCAGAACTCAACCAGTATTTCACAAATACTTGGAAAAGTAAAGAGGACATAGTTAAATTCGATGGACATAATGACAAATCGCAATATAGTTCAGTTCAGTGATGTATTCCTAGAATCAGGAGATACACCAGAATAAAATAAATACATACATCATATATAAGTATTGGCTTAAAAAGAAGACATTATTTATACTCACATAAGAGTAATTGACAAAGAAAATGTTCATATATTTATAGGTTCATATGTTCACTATACTTAGCCTAAGAGTGAGCCTATTTTGCTATCACCAACATAATTTGCTTCTTTTAAGAAATTTCCAAGACCCCTTAATCTCCTTACATTTTGAACAACTACATTATTGAATAAAAAAAATAGATCCTTTTTTTTATTCATGCTGATAATTTTTTGTGTTTCTACCTTAATTTTGTATGCTCGGCACTGTAAAACAAAGTGGGAATCGTCTTCTATTTTATTCAATTTACATTTGCATAACGTGCAATTTCTATCATCTCTTTTGGCATTTGTGTATCTTCCCCTTTTAATATTTAAGTTGTGATAAAGTAGCTTAGATTTTGAAATTTCTCTCTCCATTTTAAACATTTAATGGTTTTTTGACTGTATTGAAGACAATGTGTATTGACATGTATAAGCCTTAGTTATTAGTCCCCTACCGGTGAAACCGGAGGGGACTATAGGTTTCCTCTGAGTCTGTCCGTCCGTCTGTCTGTCTGTCCGTCTGTCTGTCTGTCTGTCCCTCTGTCTGTCTGTCAGTCTGTCCCACTTGGTTTTCCGCACTTTTTTCCTAAACGCTTGCAGATATTGAGCTGATTTTTAGTATGTGAGTGTATCTTGATGAGTTACAGATCAAGAGTGCATTTCGTTCCGTTTCATTGATTTTTGACGAAATTACGGCCTTTTCAATTTTTAAGGGTTTCCGCAATTTTCTTCTAAACGCTTTCAGATATTGAGCTGATTTTTGGTATATGACTTTACCTGATTAGTTAAAGATCAAGTTTGCATTTCGTCCCGCTTCATTGATTTTTGACGGAATTATGGTATTTTCAATTCTTAACGGGAACCAGATTACAGTTGCCGGTAGGGGACTAGTATTGCTAATGCAATACTCTCAGAATGCTTGTTTATATAGATTAGATTTTGGCATAATGTCAATTTACATGTATGCTATCATTCTTGAATATACAAATCTTTCACTCATTTTTCAACAAGTTTAAAAACACAGCTGTATTCATCTAAAAGCTCAATCCTAATTTATCCAGTTCTGTTTTAATATTTGCAATCCATTCGTCATTTTCCTGTACCATATCTTCAGAACACGTTTTAGGAATACATGTAAAATAATCTTTTTTCCCAAAAGCGGTAGCCAATATTAATTTTTATTTTCCTGAAAATATGGAAAGGAATTTACTTAATTCAAAATGAATAAATAATCAATTTCTTTAACCATATTTTTTTAAAGAACAATATACAATGTATATGAAAGTTTTCGATTTCATTTCCTTTGTTTAAACCACATTCCTTGGAAGTATTGGAAAGTATACTATTGATACTAGAATCGAAAACATTACTTTATTTGAATATCAAAACAGTAATAATTTAGTTTACTATAAACGCTAAAAGGAGCTTTTTTTCTGAGCTTCTATTGTGCTTTAGTAAATTTACCATTGTAGTTCAATAACAATCCAATTGAACTCATTTACTATTTCTAATTCGTTTTTGCCATAGAACCACTTCTCATTTTCTTTGATTTTCTCTCAATTTCTTAAAAGGTTTTTCTTTAAGTTTAAATTGTTAGGATATGATTTTATTTTCTTTTTTCCTTTTTTTCTTATTTTCCCCTCATATATATATAAAAAGCACATTTTACAACAACTCTTAAACTAACACAACTGTCCTTAAAGAGAAGAAATATTAATATAGAAAGCACAAAGAAATTCACTTTTATAAGGATACGTAAGGATACCCTCTTCCGCTCCAACCCGAGGTTGAACTCTCGATCTATGGAATTTGTCTCCTAGCAGTACAGGAACAGCGTGCTAGACCGCTCAGCTATCTAGGCAAGTCAAAATTTTTGCTTCCGATGCAGAGGGAATTCTCGCGGCCCTATATTACACGGTCACTTAGAGAGGTTATGCTAGTTTAGAGTTGTTGTAGAATGAGCTTTATAAAAAAAATAATTTCTTTACAATGTGTCTTCCATTCTCAATGACCGTGTAGTGTAGGGCGGCGCCGCGAGAATTCCATTGACATCGAAAGCAAGTTTTTTGACTAACCTAGATGGCCGAGCGGTCTAGCACGCTGTTCCTGTACTGCTAGGAGACAGATGCCGTAGGTCGTCGAGAGTTCAACCCCGGGGTTGGGGCGGAACTGGCCTGGATGTCCACATAAAAAGTGTATTTCTTTGTGCTTTCTATATATATATATGATTTGAAATGTGAACTCTCTCTCTCTCTGGTTAGGGCCTATTAAGCCAGTGAACATGAACATTGCTAACAAAGCTTATTTGTGAAAACGTACCTTGCATGATATAAAACTGGAATAAATGTTTACATCTAAATGAAAATCGATTACTTCACGTCAGTATTGGTGTGAATTCTCATTATCTCATTCTTAACTTTTATTCACTTAATCCTGCTTATGGCTTTCAGTTCCTAAATATGTTTAGAAGTCGTTTTGTGCTTTAATGTCTTGTCGTTAAATGTGTTTGTTGGGTTTGTAATTGGCTCAATAACTGGAAAGGAATGGCCAGAATCACAGAATGAACTGATGACAAACAACTGTGAGCTTACGATCGTCAGATACCTGATTCTGACAGGCTTCTATGTAGCTTTGTAAATGACAGGATGATGACGAACTAATTTACAACAGTGACGACGTTTATAGAATAATTGCAGATTTGATTAGCTCAATAAAAGGAAATCTGACATAGATCGCATTTTGTGATTCAATGCAATGGAAGAAAATCTTACGGGTGATATTTCCTTTGCATCAGAAGAAATAAGATTCTATTTTAATTATTCTGATTTTAAACCTGTATGGAGCAATATATTATGAACAAATGAAAATAATTTGAATTCTTCAAAATCGCTTTCCATTGATTCTGTACACAAATTCCTATTATTATTTTGATCTCTTTCATCATCAGCTCCTTCAAGATTTGTTTTTTTTTTCTTGTTTTAAGTTTTATTTTCCATTCTGACACAGTATCAGTAATTAGAATAAATACCTGGCTGGCTTTGTCAACGGATGTTACTCAAAAAGATCCGTGCCATTATTTGTACACTTTCTGATGGGAATCTCTGTTATCGTGTACTTTGCTACAGGGTGCGGATTAAAGACTGTGAGTCAACAACAAAAAATATCCAACAATAAAAATCAATGAAGTACCTGCTGCTTAATATATAGTAATATTTCCAGTCTCATGCTGAAAAATAAAGAAATTTAGGAATGTATATCGACAAGAAGGCTTCTATGCGTTGACATAATTGACAGAAACGGAGAATCGCCATCAAAATTTATATGGACATTGAAAATAAACCGAATTTTTAAAATTTTTGATTATTATTATTTTCGGTAAATATACTGTATTTAAAAACTGCTTGCAACTTTTCTTTGAGTTCAAGAAGCACGGCAGCAAATTCAAAGTTTGCAAAGATTTAACATTATGAAAATGGCCGCCAAATTAGAATTCAGTATAGTAGTGACATAGTAATTACATACTTCTGGAATTTATTTGGCAATCGATTACCCCATGAAAACTTGACAGCATTGGCCCAAACTTAAAATTGTAAAATCAACAGCATGTGCAAAACATTACGGACATGAAAATGACAAAGATATGGCGAGAACTTTGTGACGTACACAAAATGATTCGTCATGGTATTACATACTGGCTGCGAAGTTTATTGAACGGTCTTTTACTTCACTTATAACACTCGTATAGAGCCTTACGTTAGGGGAAATCTTCACTCCTCTTAATTTATCTGTAAAAAAATAAAAATATCTCGTTGAATATTTAGATTTTCTTATTATTTGTAATTTGTCCCCGTGGTTAAGTGTTTCATTGTTCGTAGATTGGTTCCCAGAGATGCTATGATTTGGACGAAGAGGAGTGTATCCTCCCCCAGATTGGATCAGCGCCAATGCGCCCTAACACCGGATCCGGATTCTATACAGCCGAGGATTACCGTGATATACTTCGGTACGCAGCGGGCCGCAATATTGAAGTTATTCCAGAAATAGAGACCCCAGGTCATTCCCGCGCGGCCATTGTAGCGATGGAATCCAGGTACAAGAAATTTATGAAGAGTGAGAACGAGGTGGAAGCAAAACGTTATCTATTAAGCGACATGGACGACAGTTCCCACTTCCTGTCCCACCAAACGTACAAACATAACGTCATGTCGCCATGTCTACACACGACTTTTGACTTCCTTGGCCTAGTGACACAGACTTTATCGGACATGCACCAAGACATACAACCACTGAAGACAATGCATATGGGCGGTCCTGGGGGAGACGACTTCTCCTCCAATGTGTGGAACAATTCAAACGCTTGCCAAGAATTGTCAGACACCCTTGGTGTGGACATTGCGGAGCAACTCCAAGAGCAGTTTGTAGATAATGTGGCACAGAGGCTGCCAAGAGATGTAGCACTGGGTGTCTGGGAGGGGGCAGTTATGGACGAAAAGAGACCGCTGTACAGATATGGCAAAAATCTAGGCAACAGGTAATGACAGTCTTACAGTTATTCTTAAGGAAGCAGGTCCTCTGCTTAAAGAGATAATCTGAATTTGATGAATCTTTATATCTCCTTTCTAAAATTTCCATTTTAAAGTATATCACTCCTGGCACTGGTTATATTTAGGATTTTTTGTAGTAGTATATCTACTCAAATAGCATAACTCAAAATCAAAAAGAAAACTGAGGATTAATGTACATATTTCTGAGCAATTAACGGTCTTTTTTAAAATAGAAATTGGCAGTATGACCTTTGAAGTTTAGAAATACCATTTCAAAAGAAAACTCTATTCATGAGGAAATTTTAATACCTTCATTTTGCCTTCTTCAGATTATTAAGACTTTTAAATATAAATTTATTTACACCCTTTATTATTTGTATTTAGGGATGTGATTGTCTATGCCTGGAACAACATCTGGGAGAAAGGACTGGGTGACAATGCTCATATACTGGCAAACAATGACTACAAGGTACCACACATCAACTCAGGATAGTTTGTTTGTTTTTTGTTTAACGTCCCTCTCGAGAATTTTTCACTCATATGGAGACGCCACCACTTGCCGGTGGAGGGCTACAAATTTTGACCTATACTCGGCACTCAGCGCCATTGAGCAGTGAGGGATCTTTTTCGTGCCAACACCTACTGCGACACGGGACCTCGGTTTATACGGTCTCATCCGAAGGATCGGTCTCCACCTCCCGCAGTGGGATTCAAACCCGCGACGTAAGGATCAACTCCTTACTCCGCGACTCTATAGCAGACGCTCTAACCACTGCGCCACGCGGGCGACAACTCAGGATAGTTAGATGTATACTTAACTCAGAATTGAAACATAGAGTCCACACAGGACAGTTAAACACAAATGAAAAACTCAGGATAGTCAGATGTATAGTTAACTCAGGATAATTAAATATGGAGTCCACAGAGGACAGGTAAACAGCAAACTCAGGATAGTTAAATGTATAGTTAACTCAAGATGATTAAACAAAGAGTCCACAGAGGACAGGTAAACAGCAAACTCAGGATAGTTAAATGTATAGTTAACTCAAGATAATTAAACATAGAGTCCACACAGGACAGTTAAACACACAGAAAGCTCAGAATAGTTAAACACATAGTTACTCAGTATAGTTAAACACATAGTCAACTTAGTATAATTAAGTTAAATATACAGGATCATAGTTAAACATACTCAATCTAGGTTAGTTAAAAGAATAGTCAACACAGGATAGTTTAAGATGGTCATGTACATGCCCATTGGTCAACTGAGGATAGTTAAACTCATGGTCAACTCACGATAATTAAACGAATGGTCAAATCAGGATAGTGAAACACATAGTTCACTCAGGATAGTTAAACAAATAAAACTATACCTTTAAATACTGTTTCCTTTATTAATCCATATTTAAAAACTCTAACATTTTCAATGTTCTATTGAGTGGTAAAAAAATCAATGTTGGAGGAATGAGATATTTGGACCGCTACATGACAGTTTTTTTACGTTATACTGTGGGTTGGAACATTCATCGCAAACATGGAATTCAGTGCATGTTATGTCAAAATAAAGAGTAAAAGGTATACAAATACATTTATTGACTGTGTTCTCGAACAAATGCTTTTTGTTGACCCCTCGGGCCAAACTGTTCGCCTGAATCCTAACAAAAATATCAGACGTAATTGTAGATAGGGGTGACAGAGTATTATTTGTGTTTTACATTTCTGTAAGTACTGTAACCCATTCCCATCCCTGCATAACAGGTTGTGATCTCCCACGCCACGGACCTGTTCTTTGATCACCCCAGTGAGCCAGACCCGGAAGAGCGGGGTTATTACTGGGCCTCCAGATATACTAACACCAGGAAAGTATTTGGTTTTATCCCTGAAAAGCTACTGAATAACGCAGAGGTGTCACGAAAAGGAATACCACTGACCAAAACAGACGTCTGCCCGGAAATAGGATGTGTAGAACTCACCGAGCCCTCAAATGTTATTGGTACATCCACATACATTGATAAATAATATATATGGTGTGTTTGATAAAACAATATACATGTATCTTTTTGGTTTAGCAAAAGGACTTTTTAAACATCTTGTTTAACTTGTGGTATTTAGAAAATTGTATGGTTTGTAAATAATTGAATTTATATTGATTTTATTATTGTTAAAATTAAAATGAATTATTTTGATGTACAAATCTAGGTATGCAGGGTCAACTATGGACAGAGACAATTCGGACTCCTGATCAGCTGGAGTACATGGCGGCTCCCCGTATACTAGCGCTGGCTGAGAGAGCGTGGCACAAGGCAGACTGGGAGGATATTGAGAATAGAATCACACGGGATCGTGAACGAGACCAGGACTGGGAATCCTTTGCTAACACCCTGGCATACCGTGAGTTAGGGAGACTGGACGATATGGACTTTAAATATCGTATTCCACCTCCCGGTGCAGAGTAAGATTTTTCAAATTTATGTACTAATAATTAATGCTATTAAAGATCGGCATTTTTTCTCGTTATGGAGCTAGAACAGAATCATTTAAGTAAGTGTTTGGGTAAAGTCGAGTGTATTGCGGCTGTGCCATTTAGCACTTTTTAGTTAAATTGGTTCTTTTATGTGCTTCTGTAGTTACCAATATAGTTGAACTATTTTCATGGCGTGAATTGATGTAAAAACAATTCATTCATATTTTTTGTAGAATAAAAAACAATATATTGCACATCAACAGTGAAATCCCTGGCCTTCCTATTGAAATCAGTGTAGACAACAAACGGACATGGCGGCGAGTGAATAACTCCATACCAGTCACGAAGAACAAACTAATATACCTACGAACAACGTAAGTCGATCGTTTATGTATTGCCGTTTGTTGTTTAAGTTTTCATTCAATCTATTAAAAGTTTTCATTCCATCTAACAACGTCACGGTAGCTCTCTACGGCTCTACCGAATGGTAGAGCGCTCGGTCCGTGATTGGAAAGGACCTAAGTCGATAAAGAATAACTGTACCTTCGCCAAGCGCTGGACACTTTGAAGTGAAAGTCGCGGGTGCTTCGAATGAGACCTTAAAAACCGAGGCCCCGTGTCAAAGCAGGCGTTGGCACGATCCCTCACTACTCGATGGCCCTGAGTGCCGGGTAAAGGTCTAAATTTGAAGCCCTTCACCGGTATATGGTGACGTCTCTATATTAGTGAAAAATTCTCGAACGGGACGTAAAACAACATTCATTCAATCAATCATTCAATCTATTAAAGCTGCCTCGTACATTGTATAATGTTTCTCATAAATAACTAAGTACATTTGGTACAGCTAGTTTTGAGTATTTGGAAGATTACATACAATCCTTATGATGTACACAGGTGGTGTTTCTCATTCACAGTTCTCCGGACGGTCGGCGACATTCTCGTATTGTGATCGTGACGCCGGCAATATCCACAAGGGAAGAAAACTCCGTGTATCGGATGCCATTCATGGACCGCTTTCTCAAGTATCTAGGAATGTCCCTCATCGAGTGAGCCTACACTGTATAGTGACACCTACACTGTATAGTGACACACTTCATCATCCAGTTATCGTCATCTTCATCATCCAACAGACAAGCCATCCAGTATGTGTCACTTTCATCATGCCAGTCGACATTATAAGTCATTGTTACTATGTCTCACCCAGTGAATGTTACTTGTAGAATCCAGAATCTTCCCGACATCATATCTACTTGCAGTCCCAATCTTGCTGCACCTGCTATCATGCTATATAACCATACATAAATGCACTCAACATTTGCACATATTATCTTTTATACTTATTTATATACATGTAGTTGCTATGTTGTTTTATATTATATATGAAACTTTATTTATATTTATGAATAAAAATGTTACTGAAACTGTGTTCTAGCTCTTAGAAATAATGGTAAAAAAATTATGTTTAATACCATACGTCACACTTGATGTGCATTTTTTATGAAGCCACATACTCATTTTTTAAAACTGTTTACACTTTATTCGATAGTTCAATATACATATAGAACATACTTAAATACTTTGAAATTTGATATTCAGGCTGCCATATCCTAAAAAAAATCTTACTAAAAATTTACCACAGTAAATCATAACGTCAAACTTTGTATTATAGTAAATTAAAGTATTAGAAGTTTGTACTATAGTAAAACAAAAGTTTGCACAAATGTAAGTTTGTATCAGAGTAAATCAAAATTTAAATTATACTAAATCAAAATTTGAATTATACTAAATCAAAATTTAAATTATACTAAATCAAAATTTAAATTATACTAAATCAAAATTTAATTTATACTAAATCATAATTTATATTATACTAAATCAAAATTTAAATTATACTAAATCAAAATTTAAATTGTACTAAATCAAAATTTAAATTATACTAAATCAAAATTTGTACTACTGTAACAGTAAAAGTTTGAACGATTGTGAAAAGATGATATATTTATATTAATTTGAATTCTTATGTGCCATTTATTTATATTGAAAGAAATACATGTAGAATATCAACTCGTATATTTATATAAGAGGTCCAAAATCATTTGATATAGTGAAACATAAAATGACGTTGCTTCCATTAATGATATGGTGAAACATAAGTGGATGAGGTTGCTTCTATTAATGATATAGTGAAACATAAGTGGATGAGGTTGCTTTCATTAATGATATAGTGAAACATAAGTGGATGACGTTGCTTCCATTAATGATATAGTGAAACATAAGTGGATTACTTTGCTTCCATTAATGATATAGTGAAACATAAGTAGATGACGTTGCTTCCATTATTGATATAGTGAAACATAAGTGGATGAGGTTGCTTCCAGTAATGATATAGTGAAAAATAAGTGGATGGCTTTGCTTCCATTAATGACATAGTGAAACATAAGTAGATGACCCTGCTTCCACTATTGATATAGTGAAACATAAGTGGATGAGTTTGCTTCCATTAATGATATAGTGGAGCATAAGCAGATGAGGTTGCTTCCATTAATGATATAGTGAAAAATAAGTGGATGGCGTTGCTTCCATTAATGATATACTGAAACGTAAGTGGATGACGTTGCTTCTATAAATGATATAGTGAAACATAAGTGGATGACGTTGCATCCATTAATGATATAGTGAAACATAAGTGGATGACGTTGCTTCCATTAATGTTATAGTGAAACATAAGTGGATGACGTTGCTTCCATCAATGATATAGTGAAACATAAGTGGATGACGTTGCTTCCATCATTGATATAGTGAAACATAAGTGGATGACGTTGCTTCCATCAATGATATCCCCCTTTTTTGTGAAAATGGTTGTATTTATCTTAAACAACATTCATACCATTAGTGATGATATTATCTTTATCATTAGTAGAGGGAAGTTTCGAAGACATGTGACTTCAGAGTACCTACTTTTATTAACTCTTAAAGTTGATAATAATCGTTTGCGCAATTTAGACACGATATTACCTATGGTTGCATATTTCTGCCCCCTACATGCAAGATAAATTATGTTAACATGCGAGAAAAGTATGTCAACATGCAAGATAATTATGTCTACATGCATAATAATTATGTTGATATGCAATTTACCATGCAATCGTTTTAGAGAATCTAATTAAATGTTGGTAAACATACTTACTAACGCCTGTATACGACATCATACAAGCAAAATGCAACAGAATTATGTTAACATGCAACAGAATTATGTTAACATGCAAGATAATTATGTCAATATGCAACTTATTTATGTTGACATGCAACATAATAATGTGGACATTATTATAATTATGTTGCATAATTCATAATTTATCTTGCACGTAGGGGGCAGAAATATGCCACCATAATTACCCACTTTCACTCAAGAAATATGAAAATCAAATATTGGGTCGTTCATAGTAATGTAAGTATATAAGTATTCATTTGTCAACATCTGAATCTTCTGACAGGGATGAATTTTAATCTAAGTATTCTATTAACTATTATTTAAATGTTATCATAATTTTTATTCAATATCAAATCTCAAAAAACAACGTATGTGGCTAAAAATGACATTTACAACTACTAACTGTTTATTAAGATACGTTTGGTGACCTACATGTATATTATGAATTTGACATTAGAGGATCGTGATTAAATTATACAGTAAAAATTAATGGTCATTTAGTGCTGACTAGGGATAAGAATAGGGTCTGAACATGTTGCAATTTTAACAAAAAAAACTTGCAGGCAAAATAGGTGTTTTATCTAGATTAAGATCATTCATGTCCTCAGAGTTATTGCTGAAAATTTACAATACAATTGTTTTCTTCATTTTAATTACTGTTATACTGTTTGGGGCAATATGAGGAACAAAGACAGTCTTAGCAAATTGTGTAAACTCCAAAAGCGAGCCGCTACAGTGATTTTAAGGGGGCCCACTGGGTTTTTCATTGTGCAATACTTCGCGCAGCATGGTAAAATAAAGCATATTTACTCTTTTAAAGCAACTATTTTTACTTAATTTATAAAAATCAACAAATTAAGGAAATATAAGGTTAAAAAATCTAATTACGTTTTTAAATAACTGATTTTTTAAACGATTTTTCAAATGATGGGAAAATAGACGTCGTAATCGCGTGTTTTTGACGTTATGAATAACCGAAGTTCTTAAAGCGGGGTCATTAATTATGTCATGGAATAAAAAGTATATAATACATGCTCTTGAAATTTTAAACATAGGAAATTGAGAATCTCACAATCATTTTTAGTATTTTTTATGTAAATCTGTGGCATCTGTCATATTTTGTTGTACTGCATAAAAACAGGAAAATATCATGATTTTTGACATTTTGAGATGCCCCCTCTGGAAACCAGACAGTAGAATTTTTTGTTTCTTGCATAAAATGTACAATATAGTATTACCCATCAAATAATATAATTTGAGCAAAAAGTCTATAGTAGCATTTCTATAATTTGCTCCGAAGTGCGAAAAAATGGTATTTTCCTATATAATCCTATAGAGTAAATGTACCTGTATTTTGAGATGGTCCCTAAAAAATAACCAGACGGTAGATGTTCCCTAAACTTGGCATATATACTGAAGTCAATGTAAGGTACATATGGTATAAAATTAAAGAGTTTCTCTACAGTAGTTTTCACACAATAAAACCCCAGTCGGCTCCCTTACATAAAAAATTTTTATACACCTACATCAGAAATGTTTCTGCAACTCAACTGTACATTCCGAGGGCAAAAACAGAATATTATAGAAGATCTTTTACAATTTACGGCTCGCAAATATGGAATGAATTGCCAGAATTTTTTAAAGTGTTATCCATCATTACAAAGTTTTAAATCAGCATATATCAGAAATTATTTTCAGTCTACAAACTGACTAAAATGTATCAAACATCTCATTGATTATTTTCAGTTTTATGGAAGTTTTACATTACATCATGTGTAAACATTATTTTTATTAGACTACGCTTTTTTCATATTCTTAATATTTATTTATTTATTTGTTTTTAAACTAATTGTGCTATCCTGTATAAATAAAGGACTTTATTATTAGGGTCTTTCGTCTCCAACGGAAGACCCTTCTATTATTCTATTGTTTCTTTTTCACTTTTATTATTATTAGGGTCTTCAGCGGAAGACCCTTCTATTATTCTTATGTTTCTTTTTCACTTTTATTATTAGGGTCTTCCGTCTTCTGCGGAAGACCCTTCTATTATTCTATTGTTGATTTTTCACTTTTCTTTTTATTATTATTATTATTATTCTTTTTTTTTTCCTTACCGATTTTGTGCAGAAGATTTCTCGGACATCGCTCGATCGATTTGCTTCAAATTTTCAGGGTTAATGCGTTGGTATCTGAAGTTTATAACCCCGATTCAGTTTTTGAAAAATCACTTCCGGTCAGAAGTTATCGCCCTTTAATCGATTTTTAGATAGACCTTGTGTCTGCACAAAAACTTAAGAACGACAAATGCTAGAGTGTTGAAACTTTCAGTGGTGATAGAGGACATGTTCTAGATGTGCACCTTGGTTTTCAAATTTTCCGGAAGTGCAAAGTATGGAAGCTCGGTAGGGGTCAAGATTTAGGACGTGATTTATGAGTGAATTTTAGAGACATTTCTGAAAATAACATTTTAAATAGAAGTATTTTGTTAAAACATATTGAACAAAAAGTCTTCAAAATCAGAAGACCTTTTATTTGATATCAAGAAAAAGGGGCTGACTTCTCAAATTAGGGGCTCAGAAGGGCCAAAAGTCTTTCATCTATAATTCTTTAATGATGAATATTTTGTTATAAGTTATTGAAGCAAAAATGTTCATCTTAACATTCTGCAACTATATATTATAATATTTTGATCATATGTTACGTAAGAAGGGGCCATAAGGGGCCAGAATGCTAAATCTTTGACACATTATATCTCGAAATGGGGAAATATTTTGATAAGCAATATGAAACAAAAGATGTTCAGAAAAATGTTCTAAACAATATACACCCTTTCAATTTTTGCAAGACATCCCCATTAAGGAGTTGGAGGACTGGCCCCTAAATATTGTTATTCTATATATCTCTTAAACGAAAGGAAATTTCTGAATAGTTGTTGAACAAAAAGTCTTCAAAATCACAAGGCCTTTCATTTGATATCAAGAAAAAGGGGCTGACCCCTCAAATTAGGGGCTCAGAAGGGCTAAAAGTCTTTTATCTATAACTCTTTAATGATGAATATTCTGTTATAAATTATTGAAGCAAAAATGTTTATCTTAACCTTCTGCAACTATGTATTATAAAATTTTCATCATATGTTATGTAATAAGGGGCCAAAAGGGGACAGAATGCTAAGTCTTTGACACATTATATCTCGAAAAGGGGAAATATTTT